TGGAGGTGCTTCGGGGACGGTGCGCGAGCGGCGATCCGGACAAGGCGCTGCAGGTGCTGATCGCGATCGAGGACTCGAAGGACGGCGTCGTGTACGACATCTCGAGCGATGTCAGGATGCTGGGCGGCGCGGAGAATAATGGCGGCGTGACGTGCTTTATTGATTCGCTCTTGTTTGCCATGTTTGGGAACATGAAGGCTTTTGAGGTGGTTTTCACAGTTCTTCACTTCCCCCCCCCCCCCCCCCCCCCCCCCTTCTCCCCCGTCAAAGTTTCGTGTTGGCTGAGCTCTGGGTATTCGCCTTTTGCGAGTTCCATCTTTTTTTTGTAGGCCATGATATATAGCCCCGCAAACGATATAGACGATGAAGCCAAGAAGATGGCTGCTCATATACGACTGTTTGTTAATCTGTCGCGAAAAGGAACATCGGTTACCACGGAAATTGTAGGCCATAACTTCACCGGGAAAGATATTTTGGGCAGATATTAATATTTTAACTTTCACAGATAGGAAAGCTGCAGTGGGCATTCTCTGATGCTGGTTGGGCCGAGGCAGTCTCCGGTCAACAGCAAGACCCCTCGGAACTATTTGGTTTTATTACTGACAGACTCAAACTTCCTCTCTTGACCGTCAAAGTTGATATCGCTCACGGGGGAAAGGAAATGGTTGACGACGACCATAAGTTTATCAATGAGCGATTACTAAACCTATCTATCCCTCCTGAATGGGGGCCAGATGATGTAGTCCCACTTGAAGCTTGCCTAGAGTGTAAGAAGCTTCCTTTCAAAGAAAAGAACAAGCTCCAAAGCTTACACTCATAGCCTATTTTCATAGCCGGGTTGATGTCAAGCGCCAATTGGAGCGCCAGGCAACGATGGATCCACTGCAACCACCACGCATGCCTGACCATGACAATGCAGATGAGAAGGGTTCTGAAGTACTTCTTATCGAGACTGCTGATCTAGGTTCCCAGCCAAGCAGCCCTATAGCAACTCCTCAAACCCCCGTCACACCTTCATTCCAACCCGCCGAATCATCAGGCCCTTCCACACGGCCAAGGAAAGAGTCATTGTCCCTCGTACGCACTGTAACTGTTGAAGATCATGTTGTAGTTCCTGGCGGGCGCCGAAAACGTGCCACGACGATGCGGAAAGAAGTCATGCTTCCAGCATGGTGCTTTTTCAGCATATTGCCGTTTTATACAGCCTCCTTACCTGAAGCAGAGAACCGCTCGTCTAACTATGCGGAGCATTTTGCGAAAAACCGCCCGGTCTTGGGATTGTGTCTGAAAAGATACTCATACCACCCGAAGCATGGTGCTCAGAGGGACCCGAGGAAAATTGACGTCCCACTCGAGGTCGCTTTACCAACTTTTGTGAGTGATGATGAGATGGGCGAAGATGGGCGAGTATACGGGAATTTTAAGCTGGTACTTCAATCTGCCGTTTGCCATCGCGGCAATTCGGTCCACAGTGGTCATTATATCGCCCTGGTAAGAAGTGATAGGGAGGGGATGTGGCTACGATTTGATGACATGAACACTGCAGAACGAGTCAAGGAGATAGACCACAAGACTGCCTTTGAAGAAGAAACCCCATACATGCTGTTTTACCAGGTGCAACCCCTTGACTCGGATGAAAGAGTTGTGGGACCTCCACCCCCTGCTATACATTCGATGGAAGCCACGTCCGAAAAACGCCTCTCGATACTCTCAACTTCGTCTGAAAATAGCATCTCAACAATACCCATGATTCCTGAACCAACGGTCAACGAGCCACCTTCATATGATAACCACAAAACCGCCCCGGAATTTGGCACTTCGCCTCCACCGGAGTACACTGCAGGATTTCTCGCGCTCCCGGACCGGCCCGAAGTTACAACTCCTGGTGACCAAAATGAGCGGTTACGCCCAACATCAAGATCCCCTCAGAGACCTGGTTCAAAGGATGGCGCTTCAATCGAGTCGGTGAAGAAACGATCAAAGAGTGAGAATGGAGTGGGCGATCGCTGGGAGAGTATGCGTAAGAGCTTGCCGGGGAGGGGAAAGAGCCAGGATATATTCTCGTTCGGCTCCCGTAAGAGCAGCGAGTGGAAACGCGAGGAGCAGCAGAAACGGGAGGATCAACCCGAGAATGAACGGCCGAGCGAAGATAGCGGCGAGAGCGAGATCTCGGAGAATGCGAGTGTGGCCAAGAAGAAGAAGGATAAGAAGGGCAAAGGAAAGGAAACCGAAGATAAGGAGAAAGAGAAGAAGGGCAAGAACAAGGAAGACAAGAAGGATAAAATCATTGACTGGAGACCCGGTAAGGAGATTAACAGGGAATGTACGATCTCATAGTACTACTTGCCCGGGCCCTGTAATCTTTCTTGTCCTTTCTTGTCCATCTTCTAGTTATCATACCCTATATCCATCTTGTTGGGGCTTTTTGCATAATGTTTTTTTTTATTGTTAGCTTGGTTCGGCTCAGCCTGGTTTTGGCTTGGATTAGTTTTTTTCATTGGTTTGGTTTGGTTTGTGGTATGGCTTGGATTGGACGGATGTTGCATATGTTTGGGCGGCGTTCACTGTATGAATAGATGTTTTATTTTTTCAACGAAGGGATTGATGCACTATATATTAGTTTTTTTTTTTTTTTTTTTTTTTTTTTTGCAAGAGATGACTGTTCAATAAATTTACCCGGTAGTTAAGAAGGGCATAAATCAATCAACAGTGTCCAATGGTGAGGTAGAGGATATCGAGTGATATTTTGTGTCTTAAACCGAATTCCTTGATGATCTCTGAGAAGAAGCAAAACTACATGCCGAGCGCCGGCTAGCCCTACTTATTTTAATCCGGCCCGATTTTTAAGTGCTTAGGTCCGTGAATCGACACGGAAAATCAGGACTCCCAAAAGCGCTTGGTGTCGGTTTCATGGCCAGACTCGGAGCGGTAATAGTAATATATAACCCCAATATTCCCGAAGGAAGTACGTGTAATACCATGACGACTAGATCTATAGCTGTAACCTAGAAAACAAGAAACTTACGGTCTATCTGGGGGTGCTACTAGTAGCTGAATGAGTTCTTAATTACACATGATACCCCTCGACCGTTTATACCAGCTTTTGCACAAGGATCAATTCGGAAGATTGGTCATTACTTTCCCAAAGATATATCGATACAGAATTCACTCCGTTTGGAGGTATGATGGATCATGAAACATCACTCGCCTGTAACAGCTACAGTACCCAAATTGCCTGTGGATCCAGTATCATATCTAGCAGAATACCGCAAGGTTACAGTACTGCTACGGTATAACAGTTAGGATTCACAAGTTTTTCACAATTCCGTATTGGTATAGTACCTATTACTGTTGATCACTGTGGTTGGTACGTCAGCTGTCAGCAGGCGATTTTTATCCCTTAATTATGGTACGATGTCAGGTCAGCAAAACCTCTGCACCATAATTTACGGTGTCAGTAATAGTAAGAAACAAAAAAGCTTGATATTTCATAGATGGGAGCAAGTCTGTACTGGAGGAGTAGAGCCATTATGTTACTGGAAAACCGTGAGTGTACTCATTCCCATACGTCCTAGAGTTTGCTGAAGGTATGCGCGTGCGCGGCTGCAGCTGGCGGCCTTCTGAAAGAATTAATAGATATATATATATATATAGAAAACCTCACAAAGGAAAGAAGAAGGAAGGTCTGAAGCTACTAGATTAATTAAGAGTGCGTCTAACAAACGAACTCTCAGCACACCCCAAAAATAAGGGGTAAGCTTTCAGCAGGCCTAGGGGCAACTTTTATAGAGTTATATATGGATCCATCATTATTTCCATTAACGTATTTGATCACCCAGTACTGTCGGGCCTACAACCAAATTTGTTCACAACCCCATACAATTGTAGGCATCACCAGTAATTCAACACTGCTCCATACATTCTGAGTCGGTACTTCACTATCACTACTTCATAGAATCTGACTTGGTAATTTCTAGAGCCTAATTTAGGAGTATGATTCGGTTGGAAAGCAATACTACATGTATTATCGCGATAACAGGGAGATCCGGGACTTGGCCAGCTTACTGGCAACTACATGTAGTCTCCTATAATATAAAAGGTCTTGACGTCAAAATACCACTAACGTATTTGGCCTAGTCACAACCAAATTTGCTCACAACTAAATTTATTCACCCAAATTTGTATGCCAATAACCGATTTCCCAGTTCACACGGTACCAGGTTAGGTACAGTCGTTTACCGTCGCTTGACGAATACTGCCAGTTGACGAACAGGGGACTTTGAGCCAATAGAAATTAAAGGAACTGGAGATCTCGCAGCTTGGCTGTTGCTTGCCATACTTGGAACCCCTCTTCGTCAAGTGGTAGTATTCGCCAAGAGACGGTAAACGACTGTACTCGTTTACCACGAAAAGAACCAGAAAATGTAAGTGACAGAGACAGGGATAATTTGTATGAGAGATCACCGCCACTCCATACAAATAATCCTTGCTCTGAGCAACTGTATTTTCTGGTTCTTTCCGTGGTAAACGAGTACAACGCACTTTACGGTGGTGTCTAACACATAAACCCGTCCAACCAAATAGGGACTAGCGCCATATATGCACTGCAGGTCGCCATCGTACAGAAATAGTTTAGCGGCAATCATAAAATATCACTCGTGTTAATTCTTTCTATGATGTGTATCAACCCCTAGACAAGATATCTGTATCATCGATTGCCTATATGAGCAGAATTCAGGCAGTGATAAGTGTGTCTTTCCCACGAACGAAAAGTGTGTGTATGAGACCATGACGTTTTTCTGCATATCCCATGTTACGCAGGATTCAGGCAACCCACTTGGGTATAGGTACAACTGTATCCTACCACCAGCAGCACCCCTCACCTCCCCGGTACTACTCTTACATTGTAGGGATATAAATGCGTCTGCGTAACTTAAAATGTGTATTCCCGTTGTCAGTTCTTCCCTCTCTCCAAATTGGCGAATTCAACCTCGCTAGCAATGTCGACGTCCTTTCCCTGCAGCAGTAAATCTTGTGGCAAGGTTTTTCGCACTCAGAATGCTGTTGATCAGCACTTTTTCTCCTTCCACAACAAGACAGCATACGATGCCACGATCAAAGCTGCCCAGAAAGCGAATGAAGAGAGAAGGAGGCAAGAAAGGGAGGAGGCAGGAATACAATTGGCAATGGGGAATAAACCAGAAAGCCAAATGGACAGGTTAGAGACTCTGTTGAGAGGTCCAAATCCCCCGTTCAGCGAAACAGTCTTGCAGAAAAATGGCTATCACGAACCCCCGAGGTTCAACGGCCAACCAGACCCCACTCCCAGATTTGTCGCCCAGAATAGGGCATCTGAAATGGGCCCACCTTCAAGAGGAGCCCCATTGACGTCCTCTTCTCATGACAAAGATCGTTCCTCGCGGCGTAGCTCTATGCTCAATACAGAAGTACAGAGAGTCGGTAATTACGCCTCGCCCTCGACGACAACCTCTGAAGTACCTCAATACGAGTACTATGAGAATGATGCATATTTCTCATACGGTTCGGACAACGCTGTCCAAAAGGATTGTCCAGAGCCTCTCCCCTGTGAGGATTGTAGCTTCCTTTTCCGGGACCAAGAATCACTAGATTACCACATCAGTACCAAGCACCGGCCACCGCCCTGCTTCGTCTGCCATAAGCCCTTGCCTCGCGATCAAAGCATCGATGAGCATCTCGAAACAGTGGCCCATGAGTGCGCCCACTGCCACACCCCCCTGCCCCTCAGAAAGTCAGGGGTGGTATCGCATATGTGGTTCTCTCACCCGTTCGTTTGTAGGGAGTGTGGATGTAGTCTGCCAAACTCGAGTGCTCTGGGTCGGCACATGAGCACTGTACATGGAAATGGGGGAATTTGGTGTCAGGTGTGTCAGCCGCCATGCGGGAGGACTTTTGACACGCAGGAAGGCCTCGACGGGCATATCAAATCCGTGCTGCATGGGAACTCAAAAGCTGCTGGTACCCGCCGTAGCGAGTATGGAGGGACTGCCCAGTGGGTATCTCAAAATCAAGCTCGTCGCCGTGCGCGTGAGGAAAAATCCTCTGTGCCAGAGAGCTCTCGATCATCTCGGCGCTCAGGTTCCCGCCGGAACCAGGGTTCAATTGTGATTAAGGAACCCCCATCTCTACCAGCCCGTCCTGAAGAGGAAGAAGGTCCATATATGCCTAGGAAATCTTCATTTTTACCTCCTGTCCGTCATGAAGAAGAAGGCACATTTGAGTTAGGAAGCCCACCGCGACCAGCTGCTCGCCATAAATTTAATCCTCTAATCACAGACAGTCCTCCTCAACCTTCCACTCGGCGCAAAAGGGATCTATCTGTAGCTGGGAGCTCTGCAGGGTCAACGACTCATCATACAGAAATCTCTTCCGTGTCAGGAAGATTTCCGGCAGTCGTCAGCAGTGACGAAAATCGATTTCGATGTAATTGTGGTAGTAATACCTGCATTATGTCATGCGAAGGCCATCATACCCGTAAGTCTAGCTATAGAGATATTATATTTAAGCCAAATAAAGTGGTCTGATTTCCTTTAGAGACAGATACCACCCCTATAGAACAAGCTATCTTAGATTCTATGTCCCAGCAAACACGGCGATCGCGAGCCACACCAGTCCAGCTAATCCAGCCAATCCAGCCAGTCCGGCGAGCCGCACTGATTGAGCCCATACAGCCAATCCGGCGAGCTACACCAGCCCAGCCAGTCCAGCTAGCCCAGACAGTCCAATCAAATCAGCCAGACCATCCAGACCATCCAGACCGTCCGGACCATTCAGAAAAATTGCCCCAACCAGCTAAACCAGTCCAGCAAGCTCAGCCAGTCCGGAGCAAAAGCCCCATCAGTTCATTGAAAAAGCAAAGATGCCTAACGTATCCATGCTGGACATGCCACCCGTTCTGCGGGAACGTATTCGATACCGAAGAGGCAAAGAAAGCACATATCAAGTCCGTGAGTTTGAAGGGGAAGTCTTCCAAGCGTTTGGATACGAATGAGAGCTATTCTGAGTTTCTGAGTACGAGTGGAAAACACTCTGAGCTTTTGAGTACAAACGAGAAGTCTCAAAGCCTAGCCATCCGCCGGAGCAGAACTCTGTTCCTATGCGAGAGCTGTGATCCAGCATGTAACCAGATATTTGAGGTTCGTGAAGCTTTAACAGCTCATATCGAGCAAAAGACACATCTTGAGATCCAAAATTTGGAGGAAGATATCAGATCGGCAGAGCAAACCGCTCAAATCCGGATCGAAGCTCTTGAGAAAAAACTGGAAGAAATGAAGGAAACGCATCGTCTTGAGATCGAGACCATGAACACAGATCTTGAATTGATGAGAGAGAGGATTTTTGATATTGACACCCAAATCTTACCTTCCTTTGCATGTGGTTTATGCAAGCCATTCTGCGGAAATATCTTCGACACCGAGGAAGCTGTCGAAGAGCATCTAGATATCGTATTGGATAATGCGATGGACACACGTCTCAAATCGTTCAGAGAGAAAGATGCTTTTGATGCCAAGAAAGCGAAATTTCCAATGGAATGTTATACGTGCACGCCGCCCTGCGGGAGCACCCTCGACAGCTCTGAATGTCTGAACCAGCATCTAGATCTTATGATCGAAAAATCACAACACCTGATCACTCGGTATTCCAAGCAAGAATTCCCATGCAATAAATGCGATCCATCTTGCGGAAAGATTTTCGATTGCAAAGAGGATCTAGAAGCTCACTTGGTGCCTGCGGCAGAGACTGCGGAGGTGGTGGAAATTACTGAACCCCAAGAGGTCCCTAAAACTGACTGTGAGTCGCAAGCCGAAACTCTTGTTGATTTGGAATCCCCAAAATTACACGATAAAAGTATGCGGGACTTCCAGCGGATTTTGGACGCCCGCACTGCGCGGAAAAAACGAGCAGAACAATCTATTTTGGATATAGTAGATCAATTTTCATGCGATACATGTAGCCCTCAATGTGGGCGCATCTTCAACACCGAGGAAGAGCTACAAAACCATCAGAGCTTTATAGAGGAAAAGAATCAGCGTAACGCCACACGCCCTAGCATGGACCGGTGGTCTTGGTTAATTATAGAGACCCCGGATGCTGTCGAAAATTTGCTGTCAATGACACATGAGCAAGATGTTCTTTTAGAAAATGAATATTTCGAGCCCCCTCAAAGGTTCGGTCACCAGGATCAAACCAAATGTATTCATTGCCATGGTGAGTCTACAGGTACTCTTTTCTTGAAGAGAATAAAGACAAGGCTGATTTTCTAGGTGTTAAATCGAAGCTAGATCTAGAGGAAAACATTATCTGTTCGTACCATACTGGTAGATGGGAGAAAGATGTAAGTAGTTACCACTACACTATCAATATTGGTTTCCATAACGATAACTTACAAAATCAGGGAGATAAAACTCGCCCCAGCTGCTGCAAGAAAAGAATCAAAGGATGCAAAGTCCAAGATAAACACTCATTCATAAACAGTGAGAATCTCGAAAAACCGATATTCCAACTAACACCAACGCCATCTTTCCTCCATCCGAAACGAAAAGCAGTCGTTCTTGGCTGTGGGGTGGGAGTCTCCACCCAGGCGACTAGCGAGTTAATCCAGCTCATTGCAATCGACTTCTTCACCGGGGAAGTCTTAATCGACATGATAGTTCGTCCTAGAAAACAAATAGTCGACTACAGAACACGATGGACCGGGGTCACAGAAGATATGGCACAGCATGCTATCGCAGCAGGGGAGTTTTTGGACTCCTTTGAAAATGCAAGAGCAGAGCTTTTGAAATGGATAGACAGTCAGACGATACTCATCGGTCACTCGCTAAATATGGAGTTGTGGCATTTACAGCTCAGACACTCTTTAGTTATTGATTTGTCTTTAGCCATACCGCAAGCCGGATACAAGCCACTTAAAAGGTCGAAGGGCAAAAACCTGAAAGCCATATTGCAGAACTTCTTAGCAGAAATTATTCAGGACGACATTGATGGGTACGACCTTCTGGAGAATTTACGTGGGGTAAGGGAGTTGATAATTAGGTTGAGCGGAGGTGGTACAGCTCTTAATGCGGATTATGAAGAGGAAGAGGTTGAAGAAACTTCCTAATACCTCGAGATATCTGACAATATGCGCTTTTCTCCGTTGATTGATATACTGTCGTTTTTTCTTCTTTTTTTTCTGTAGTTTCCTTGCGGGATTGAAATTTGGGACAGCACTGCAGCTGTGGTTCTTGTATTTTCTTTCAGTCTTATTCTACGATTCTCAACAATTTGCCAATCAGATGTTTTCTTTTGTCGATTGAACTTTTCAATATATGATTATTTGTCATATGTAGGGAGGACCTCAAAGGTTCGGCGAAGGGCTAAGGTCTTTTGCTGAAACCTGCAAGCGCAGCTTTCGTCATATAAACACATTAAATTGGTATCTCATGTCATTTTTTGATATGGATATATATCCTCCTAGGATCGGAGGCTATATCTAAACCCTTGTCATAACCTCCGGGCTGCACACAATTAATGAATTATCAATCAACCAATCAATCTATATCTAAACTCAGAGCTTTGAAGACGATCGAGTGATAACTCATGACTCCAGAGTAACTTTCACCCAGCCACCCTGCAATACCCCATGATTGGAGACTATCTGCCAAAATAAATTGACCCGGCGCTTTGCCACTATGCTATACTACGGATCCTCAAGTAACTACATGTAGCGTTGGGGTGGCTTAACCCTTAAACCTTAACCCTTAAACCTTAAACCATAACCCTTAAACCTTAAACCATGAAACGATTCACCTAACCCTGCCTCAATACCTACGACCCTACTGTAATTGCGACCTAAAGTTGGATCGGGCGATTAAGTAGCTAGTACCAGCTCTCCTCCCTCGCAGATAAACTCCAAGATCAAAAAGAAATTAGTGGAAGCCCCCATCACCGGGCCTTTCGAGGCATGTAGAGTACATTCCATCTCCCACACGATATGTACGTAATCACCAGGCAGCAGTAAGTTATGTATCTCCGTTTGCGGGGGTATATAACAGACTTGGGCGTTGGGGGGCCAAATTAATCAACGGTAAAAGACTACTACATATTCCACAATAGTCGATCTACAAGGCCTGCACAACAGGCCTGAGCTGGGCTAACTTAACTCTTTCTGTTCAAATAAAACCCTGTACTGACATTATGATGGAGGGCATACCGATTGAACCACGGTGGTTGATGCTATAGCACATTTTCTGGAGCTATTATTGTGAGCTAATGTTCTGTATATATCAGGACAAAAGCCGCATCATCTTATGGTTCTCGGCTTTGGGAACGCTGGATAACCGTTTTGACCGTACTCATTTTAAGCTATGGCTCATGCATGGCATCATGGTCACTCACAGAATGCCAGTTTAAGATGAGCATAAAATAGCTTACATTAAATGCAGCGAGATTAGCAAATCACTAATTCTAAAAAAACATACACTTCAATAAGAAGAATTCATACACAACCATCTAGGCATGAGCAACGAAGAAGACAAATTCAAGGAAGAAAGAGAAAGTAAAAAGCAAAGAAACAAAATCAGAAGCTTAACGCCCACCGAATCAACCCGAGAATTTTGTAAATATACAGAATAGAGGAAAAAGAAAGCTGAAATACTGGTTATTCAATCAGCTTATAGAAGGTCACATTCAGACATATGATATAGGTCTAGGGTAGCACGATACATCGCATTTGGTGCGACAATGCCACTGTTCTCACATGTCAGTATTTATACGCGAGGGAAGAATTGAGGGAAGATTGGATAGCGGAGGGGATAAAATACTTGTTCGTGACGAAATATCCCACATAGCTTCCTGGGATAAAGTCTACCATTGGGTTCGGCATTTCCACGTTGTCGATAACGTATCCTATTTCATCGGTTAATGAGGTTATCCGTATATTCCTTTATCGAAGAGTATAACCCGCCTTCTTGAAAATCAACAGTCTTAGGCGCTCCCATCTCAATCCACTGGTCCTCGAAGAAAGTAGTAATCGGGCATAGAGCATATGACCCCGATAACACTACCACCGGGGTGTTCCTTGCCTTTGCAGCCCTTACGATGTTTTTCGTTCCAGCAGACGCCAGCAAGCTTCCATCAGCAAACACATACTCTGTTCCTAAAATCACCTTATTGACTCTGCCCATGAAGTTGATCACATCGGAATCCGAGATAACGATAACCTGAATTCCGCGGTCCTGAAGACTCTTTCTCGCCGCAAGTTCAGCCGCGTCCTCGTCCTCTTCATTGGCGGTATCTTTGTTCATCACCGCGTTGTGGGTCTTTCGGTATACATTCAACGATCCTTCAACCACAACGACGGTAAAATCTCTCTTCTGCGCAGCACGAAGGAGAAGTCGCTGGACGGTAGAAGGGAATCCGTAAGTAAGAATAACCTCATTCCTATGGACAACGCTCATCGCATATTCCGCAAGATTCGTCTCGCACGAATCGAGCTCCTCAATAAGTTCCTGGATATCCTGGATTATCGCCGGGCGGACGTCATGTTGCACAGAGGATTGTGGCTTGGCAACGCCGGTAGATGGGGGTGAAGACGTAGCAGATGAGGTGATTGATGAGGAGGGGTGAGAAAATATCTCAAAGACATTTGTTAATGAAGGGTTTGAGGCCGCAACAGCAAATGACTTGACGGTCATGAGTGAGGGACGTTTCTTGAGTGCGGTGGGACCACCTTGGAGTGCTTCTATATAAATGTTAAGCATTTGACCCAGGTCAATATAGAAAGAAATCTCCTACCCTCGAAGTCCTCCGAGCGGAGCGCTTCTTGGAATTGGTCACCCATTCCGTTGTTCTCTGCTTCCTCGCGGATAATCCCAACAACCCTTCGCGCCATGTTCCTAACCGACATCTCTCTTGGACGTGCAGCAGAAAGCCGCTCTTCAACGCCCGAAATATAGTCGACCAGCTGACGGATGCTCTGGAAACGGTACGAGGAGATCAGGCGGAGGAAGAGCTGTGCAGTCCCAACAGCTGCGGGGACAGGGTTCCGTATGACACGGCGTTTGAGTGCCCTACAGCCCGTCAAGTTAGTTGCAGAACTCAATACTTCTTAGAGGAAGAGAACTAACCCGACATAGAGTTCGACGGAGTTTTCATGATGGAAGTCGGTTTCGAGATGTGTAAGCCACCATTTAAGCCCAGGTGTCTGTAGAGTGGAGGTCGGTGCGGTTGGTGCCATTTCGAAAGGGTTTGGACGATGTTTTCTTAAGAAGAGCTGGGGTTTCTATCACTGACAGAGAGGCTTGCAGGATGAAATAAGGTACAAGTGGAGTATGAAGAGGCTACAGGGTTGGTTTGCATATTTGTTGGAGGGGCACAGTCATTAAATTCCCTACCCCACCATACCACTGGGTAATGATCGCCCGGGTAACTCAAAATACATGGAATTCTATGTTTGACATCGCAACCCTTGAAGCTTCTCTTCAATTGCGACATACAATATTCTTCAATTTTTTGTATTTGAGTACTTTGAAATGGTTACATGTAATATAATAGATGGAACAGAATTTCTGTTGCATACATGTACTGTACCATTCGGCGTATCATGCCATACACGGAACATGCGTATCAGTACGGCTCACCCTGATAAATGAAAGTTTAAATCGGCATATTTCTCATAGAATGACAAACCGCTACATGAGTAGACGCGTCCCTTTCCCTGCAGTGAGTCTTATCTGGCCAAAAAAAATGTTGGGAAAGAGACACGTATAGATTTAGAGCACATGTAGTCTACTGGGTTAAGATAAATGAAGTTAGATACAGATTTCTTCGCGCGAGACAATCTATTATTAGTGCAAATCCCTCCCTTACACCGTACCTTAGCATCACAAAAATCGATTTTTACATCAGGATTTCTAAGTAGGGTTTAGAAACTTAGCTTTATCAAGATGTGCGCTCAGGAATTTCAACGTCTGTATTTATGGGGTCTGTTTCCCCCATGGAAGACTAGGAAAATAGGTTACGATGATGATATCTGAGTATTGCTTTCTGTTAAAATAATCGAGGCTGTTTCCAAGATGATTTTGTGTTTTCGGAACGTGAATTGTTGACTATCTCCCCAACTCATGGTTCTCGCCATCTTTTACTGAGATAGGTATTCTGATTTCACCACTCCACACTTACAATCACATTAACATTCATCTGCTCTTTACATTGTTGGATCATGTTCTTCTGTCGGTTTTAAACTCCGTAGTGATCTTATCCATATTAATTATGTTTGTTTCGAAGCATGGAGCCCGAGCGCTCTCATTCAGGCCGGCGCCAATGTCTTTAATCTTTAGCGACGTGAAGAAGTTCCCGGAAGATTTTTGGACGCATACAAAGGGAAACAATCATGGATAAAGTGAAACTCCAATTCGGCGTATTAGCTGCGGCTGCCTATACTGATGTCTCAGATTCTAGGTCTTGTTTCTACAAGCAAAAAGCAATTAAGAACACCGCAGCAACAGAGTCCAGTGCATATCAACTTAATAGTAGCTATCTTTTAAGCAACGCATATACAGCACATGTATGCAGCTTCAAAGGTGCCTTTTAGGATTGGCTCTGAAATACTGTAGACCAGATCGTTGGGATTGCCCTAGGCGCACAGGCCTTTGTGCATATTGTATGCGAATTGCACAAATATTGTCCGATACTTGTAGCCAATTGCAATTACAAAACCAATTGGTAGATTCATCGCATCCCACTAGGATAACCGGCTGTAGGTACATGTCGTTCCTCGGCGGCTCTTTTGAGCATGCGGCCCCGATGACGTTAAGGCAGGGATGCCGATGTCCAACAAAGCTTATTTCAACTTCTTTGCAACAAAGACACGCCACATCCCGCGCAACGAGTGTTAACGATACCACCAATCCTTAAAACACAATTCAACAATCATGGGTGGCAGTAATTTGGAAGTCTTCAAGGTACCTATAAAATTGATCTTTTAAAGAAGGGAACCAAGCGAATAAACTAATTTTTTTTCGTTTTCCCTCTGTCGCAGTTTGGAATGTATGAATGAGTGCCCCACTTCACTGCCGCCACCAAACATCAAATTCTAACATCACGGATCAACGGACAGGTATATTATGTTCCCTATTGCGGTTATGTACTACTTCGGTACAAATCTCGACAATCGCTTCTCCGTTCCCAACTTCTGGCCGAAAGAGAATGAGACGCACAAAATTCCGTTTGACCGCGATGAGATCAAGGCAGAATTGGAGAGGCTGAGAAAGAGGAGACTGGAGAAGAGGGCGAAGAGAATGGATGTTCAGGAAGTCCCCACAAACGAGTAATGCCAGTGAGGGCCAGAACAAAGGACCTTACGGTTATGATGCTACAGCCTACAGGAGGAGCTGTGTTCCTCTTGTGTGTGCCGTGCACCATTGATGCCTGTAGCGGGGCGCTAAGATACCAGAATACTGGAATGTTATTTCCTTGTACCATATGATTTTCTTCTTTCTTTCCTCTACAAAGACATTTCCTCTCTCTCTCTCTCTCTCTCTCTCTCTCTCTCTCTCTCTCTCTCTCTCTCTCTCTCTCTCTCTCTCTCTCTCTCTCTCGATCCCCCCACCTCTCTCTCTGTACAGTTATAGGTAATGTGGAATACAACCATTAATTTGCAGTGAAATTGTCAATGAGTTGTCTGAAAGGTGGAACTAGTTAGTATCCACCCTCTTGACCTCTCTTCTCGTCGAGAGGATTACTCATGTATATTTTGAACGCAAAATGTGTGTATTTACTAAACTCCCTTAAACCCACTAAACTCCCTTTAATCCCCAGACTCCACAAAAATACATGTAGTATATGCTATAAACAGATTTAATCTAAAAAGCTGGCAATTCCACTCTCAACCCGCTATCCTCTAGCTCTATCATCACTGGAGGTTCCTGGACCTCAACAGCTTCACTTTCTCTCCTTGATTCTGCTTGCGTATCTGGATCTGGATCTTCCACGGCTTCGCTCCCCCTCCTTGAACCCATGCCCAGCCCCTCTTGTTCGGAAACCGATGCTCTCTCGCTCGAATTTTGTTTCCTTACCGCCAGACGCCAATATATCGCAAATATTACACCTCCCGAAAATACCAAAACCCCAATAACTATTGCAGCAATAATACCTGCCGAAAGAGTACTGCTCGTTGTTGAAAGAACGCACCAGTCCTCCCACCCTACGGGGGTGATATCATGGCAGTAAAAACAACTATATATATGTAAGTATAATTCCTCTCATAAAATACGGTTGGGGTCGATATACTCTAGCGCAGAACGGAGAAATCCACGGGTCTTACAGAGACAATTACTCTGGGTGGGTGTGTAATATGAGATATTCATATAAACCCTCATATCCTCATCCGGTGAAAATGGTACGCCGCATACCACGAAGGTGTCGAAAGGATCCTTACACGAGTCGTAACATGAATTTGTGCTTGAATCATTCAAGTTCCGAGCAGCCCGAGTAGACAGTGTGAGGAGGGTGAATAGAGTCACACGTAGGAGAAATGCGAGTGGGATTCTCATTTTGATTTTTCAGCAAGGTTCTTGAGCAGCCGACATTTAATCTTCAAAAGAAGGATCGCTCATCTAAGGCCGATATTAAGGAGATAGTACAGGGCTATAGGGCTGGATTTACGCGAGCGAAGATAAACCATGTTGAGTACAATTCGCGCATCAAGCTTACGGCTGAAAGAACTGGGGTTTTCAAGGTGCATAAACCCAACCTTCAGACATAAAGTGCACATTCTCCTCATCGGTACTTAAACTCTGCATCTCGAAAAAAGAAATATAGGGTGAAAAATTCAACGTTTAAGTGTGTAAGCCCCAAACAATTATCACAGGTGACCGGACTAGGTGGCTGAGAACATGTCAGCCCGCAGGCTAGAATCAATCACCCGCTCATTCTAAGCGAATTATGTCTCATATATAACGATAACAAAGTTTCAAGACTTCAGGCTCAATTGCTAGTTGTTGACTACGCACGTGTTTTCAATCGTCACTGTAAAAAATGTTACGCAAAGTTGTTTCAACCGACCAAAAACCAGCCTCTCTTATTAATAGCGGATTGGGGATTTAATTTTTATGATCTCAGGTTTGTATAGATTTCGCTTACATGGTCCGATTCTTCCAGTAGATCTACCATCGGTTGTCAGTTAACAGAGCTTGCTGTGATATGAATACGAACAGTACTTACTGAGTAATTTCGTCAATTGTTCCTCCGCTTTACTTCCTTCCTGCAGCTCCACCATAGTATCTTCGTTCGGAACCCACGCAATAACACTGCTGGTAACCTGCACTTCTGGTAGCCGGGTTTTTATTTCTTCAGCCACGGCAGAAGTCCTGCTTGGTTCCGTCGTGATTTCGACACCCTTCCCATTCTCATCTTCGCATTCTTCTACATCTTCTGTTCCATCTATTTCTAAACTAGCTTCGAGAATTATATCGAAGTCGACCTTACCGGGCAAGACGTGAATAATTCCCCTTTTGGTGAAAAGGTATGACGTAGACGTAGTCGTGGCATTGCATTTAGTGAGGAGAGACTTAGTCTCCTGAAGAGCACGTAACTTGTTATCTGTAACACACTCCCTATGTATTCAATCAATATCTTAGAGGTTAACCCTATGTATTGGAATACGTTGAGTTGGAGCTTACAAGACCAATGCCACGGAGCCGGGTCCCATGGCTTCCATCATGAGTGTTTCAAGAGCTACCCCATTTGCCGAAATTCCTTGGCCGCGATTTATGGCACCTTGAATACGTTCCTTCGGCATTCCAGCTGTAGATTTACTAGGCTTATTAGTTTCTGCTGAGTCCACGGTGGGCTGGGTTGAATCTCAGACCCTTCTTGGCAGCTGCGACTGCTGCGGTAAGACGAAGGTTTCCATCAAGTCCACCAGCTAAATGTGCGCGATTTTCGGTCAGTTTATGGTTTGTGGGTAGTGGGGGTTCGTTGATACTCACATTTTGATGCATAGGTTATCTCTTGGGAAATCTTTGAGAAGGCTGAGCCTCTTTTTGCATCATTTGCGCCTTTGTCGTGCCGAATCTTACTCCATCTGTTGTGACCGGACTGCGAGACAGAAGATGTAGAGAACAAACATGGGTAAAGTCGAGTGCTTGGCTGTGATGTTTGCCATTGTTTTGTACACTTGAGCGATGTGTGAAGAAGCCCAATGGATTGAGATCTCATTTTCCAGTATCTTATGTTCGGACAGAACTGCGAATTATGTACAGACCAAATTTTAACCCCTCCATAAGAGGTGTCAACCCATTTATAAAAATCGCTTAGCGCCAAGCCTAGTACACTGTGTCCTACACCTCGGGACACGCTTCAAGCATCTCAGGAAACAACCCCCTATGTCCGGACAGAAAGCTGTATACTGTACAACAACATCAACGATATCGGAAACAGCTTGCCGGAGCACCACAATCGAAAATGGCCGATGATAGCTCTGCTGCGGTCGAGGCCGTCCAGCTCGATATGACGAAGCTGCGTGCAATCGCGGAAGAGCCTCAACAACAGCTCTACGTCATGTCCTTTCTTAACAATCTCGAAAAGCTGGTGGACCGGCTTGATGAAGATGGAGCTTCGGCATATCAACTATATGTCAAAAAAGAGCTTTTCAAAATCATTACTTTGACTTCACCGGCACCCACTAGGCTTGTTAGGAACCAGGCAGGGCGCTGCTTCGTTGGGATCTTTGAGAAGGGCGACCGGAAGCTATTATATGACACTATCAACGAGTTACTGGGGATTTTAAACACGGGGAAGTCGGATAAGGAATTGAAGATTCGGCAGTGAGTGCACTCCTCCGAGGTGAAGGTCTCAATGACTTGACGGGGCTGACCGGAGGTGCCTACATCGCTTTGGGTGGATAGTGCGGCCGTGCACTGTATAGGAGAGGTTTATAGAGCCGCAGGCGATAGCGTACGACCTTCTAAAACTCCTTGGCTTGAACACAAAAGTGCTGATAAGGTGGAAACTGTAGGCTATGTCATTAGCTACCATGACATGCACTAGTTTAATTAGACTTCTCAAAGGCGCCCAAAATGTTTGTTCGGTCCTGTTAATAATCCAACTAATACTATAATTCTAGCTAATAGCTATTAGCACTGCGGCTTGAGAAGCGCGATATTTAGAGCTTTGGGGAAGATTGCCCGAATGATTGGGGGCATGGCGGATGAGCCAACCTCTCGAGAAGTGTGGAAACAGGCCAGAAACGCCGCCACCAGTGATAAGGCTGCTGTAGCTCAAACCAGCGCTCTACAGGTGGGGAGGTCATAAATAATAACAACAACCATTAAAGAGAGGTGCTAATTTGAACCAAAATAGTGTCTTGAAGAGTTGATTCAGGCAACACAATACTTTAGTAGTCATCAGGAGTTTGAAAAACTACTTTCTTCAGTTATTAAAGCCTTTGATTCCTCTTCGGCCCCTGTGCGGAAGGCTGCTGCATCTTGCCTAGCAGTAGCTCTGGTACAAGCCTATTCGACAGAACCGCCTGAGCTAAAGATGGCAAAAAAGAAAAAAACTAAAAGACAGTCAATGGCAATCAATGACGAAGATGGCATTGGCATGGAAAGACCTTCGTCTCCAGGACTAACTGGGAAAAAAGTTGTTGTGCGAATGACATTAACATTGGATGAGATACTTAAGCAGCTTTCTATGCATTACGTAAAATCATCTACCTCCGCCAAGGTCCGAGCTGGCATTGCACAATGCTACTCAGAGGTCTTCACTAGATTGGGATCGGTGGTTGTAGAAAACAACTATGGGGCTATAGTTACCCATCTACTTACTGAAGTACTTTCGAACCCTGGAATAACTATGAACAGGTTTCGACTTCTAACGACACGGAAATACGTGAGAATACTATTGGAAGATGTAATAGGTCACAACCTTCTCGGAGAAACTGGGCAGCTGAATGCAGTCAATACCCTTGTCAACGATACTATCAAAAACTACCCACAAGTCATCAAAGATAAGCCCGAGCCTAGCAAATATGCTTTAACTGGGGCCCTACATGCGCTAGCGTCACTCATCAAGTCGTTAGGCTCTGCCATGACAAGTTCTCAAGATACAACTCGAGATGGCCTACTCCAGGTTTTGCAACATCCCAGCTACACTGTCCAAGTGGCTACAAGTTGGTGTCTGCGAGCGTTTGTTATCGCCGCGCCTACTCAGCTTCTACAAATCATTACAATTTGCATGAATAATGTAAATCGTGAGCTTACGCAGATGACTGCCAGGCGACCTACCACAACAGAGGCGCTGCGAAAATGTACAGGATATGCCAATGGCCTTGCAGCAGCCATTAGTACAGCTCCCCTGCAGCCCTTGTATGCCTCGGTAGATATTACATCCCGAATATTGACACTGGCAACTTCGTTATTGAAATCTAGTGGCGATTATGACCTTCGGATATCAAGCACTCAGATTCAAGTTGCTTGGATCCTGATTGGTGGCCTGATGGCTCTTGGGCCAAATTTTGTCAAAATCCATCTATCACAATTACTTCTTCTCTGGAAGAGTGCGCTTCCAAAGCCTTTGGCAAAGGATTCTAATATGGACCGATCGTTGCTGGAACTATCGTTCCTCGCGCATGTTCGGGAGTGTGCTCTCGGCTCAATCCTGTCCTTCCTCGAATTCAACTCTAGACTTCTGACTACGGATGTTTCAAAGCGTATTGCAGCAATGCTTCAAAATTCAACGTTGTTTCTTAATACATTGCCAGCGAAGAAATCTACAGATGATGTTTCTCAGCGGCTTTCCCCATCACTACAACTGCTCGATTTTGACCTCATGGTTCGTCGACGAGTTCTGCAATGCTACGTTCAACTCGTTAAGCTTTCTCACGGCGAGTCCTTACAAGCAAATTTGCTCACAATCGCGATGAGCTTATTCGCGGATCCGGATAAGTATACACCGTCATCTTTAAGCACGGCGATCGCCTCCAGTGCTGGTGCGTTTGAGTCTTTATGGGACATCGGTGATAACTATGCATATGGAGTATGTGGATTTGTAAATGGGTTTGACGTGGATGCATTTGCGTTTGAGGCACAGGGAAGCAAACAGACAGTTGCCCATTGGATGACGAGAAAGAGCCCGGAGGCGCGTATAAATGAAACGGTTAGTTACTTCATTCACTCATTGTGTGGTTTGATGTTTTGGACCTGCGTAGTTGATTATTTTCATGCAAATAAAGCTCCATGCGCCTGTCATTGGATCCATTGAGCACGATTCTGTTTCTCTGTACATCACAAGTAATTCCATCGACATGGATGAACCTACTCCAGCTCCCCCAGCCACAGCCGTAGTAACCTCAGCTATTGACTTATTCACTATTCTCCTTCCAACTCAGCCACCGAAGGTTCAGGAAAGTATCCTAGAGCAAATTGCTACCTTTTTGGCATCAAACAGCCTTCAGCGAGATCCTGGGAGGAAAGCTGCAATGACTGTAAATGTAGCTGTTGCATTACTGGGGACGTTGAAAGCTACGATTGGTGACACTCTGCCCTCGGCCAGTTTAGGTACACCTAGTGTTCTTAAAATCATACAGGAACTTTTACAGGTAAGTCCACTCGCATCCGCAGCATAAGCCATTTGCGTGTAATATTGATTGGTGCTAGGGATTCGTCATTCACCCGGATCAATTTGTGCGGAATATTGCATACGAATCCCTAGGCCGCCTTTGCAGTATTGGCGGTAACTCCTTCACCGGCAATGTTATACAATGGCTGGTCGACACTATAGTCAGCAACCGTGAACCAAACGCCCGAGCTGGCTGCGCCGTAGCCCTAGGATGTATTCACTCCTACGTCGGAGGAATGGCAGCAGGATTCCATCTCAAAACGATCATCGGCATATTGATGTCTCTCAGCAACGATCCTCATCCGACGGTCCATTTCTGGGCATTAGATGGACTTGCCAGGACAATTGACTCTGCTGGTCTTACATTCTCGGGATATGTGACTAGTACTTTAGGAATGCTTTCTCAGCTATATGTAGCGGAGACTCACGATGAAGAGGTCGCTACTGTCGCCACTTCGAATTTGGAATTGGAGCTACCGACTACGAGCATTATTGTCAGGTGCATTGACTCATTGATTGGTGTTCTTGGGCCTGACCTTCAGGATATGACAAAGGCCCGAGAACTTATCTTGACCATGGTCGGGCAGTGCTTAAAGGAGCCAGATTATACTGTTCAGCTGGAGGCCTTGAGATGTCTCGAGCACCTGTCTCTCTTTGCAGCGAGCCATGTAGACATGAGCAGCTACGTCAAGCGATTGCAGAAAGAATTGGATTCACCTTATATGGAGCTGAAGGATGTTGCTGCCGATGGTTTGTATCAACTCATGAAGAGCGATGCAGAAAGAATCATTGATGTTGCAAATCCGGGGCTCGAGGAACAACTATGGATTGCCTTGGATGCAAATCCTAATCATGAAGGAATTCGTAACATAATTCGAAATTGGTTAAGTCAGACAGGTATTGACGATGCAGGTAAATGGGTGGATAAATGCCAAATGGTGATGACAAAAACTGTTGAGCGCCGAGATGGGCCAAAACAAACAGACGAGAAACCCATTATGTCAGTTCCTACAGACCTGCACGATGAAGAGGTTGCATCTTTCGCTGTTGCCGGAGGCGCATCTGGTGAGAAAGAAGGTTCGCAGCCCAGCGGGCAAGAGCCGTTGAGATGGCAGGTCAGGACCTTTGCGATAAATTGCCTCCGGGAATTGCTATCAATGGCAGCCAAGGAGATGCAGGCAGATTCGGAGCATCCGGTAGAGGACAAGTTAGTAGTGAAGATTGCCGACATCATTAGAATGGCTTTCTCAGCGAGTACGGCGAACGTAGTACAGCTCAGGTTAGGAGGGTTAAAGATTGTTGACCAAGTTCTAAAGATGTTTGGTCACACTCCAGATCCTGACTTTCCGGAGGCGACATTGCTAGAACAGTACCAGGCCCAAATTGGATCGGCGCTCACACCAGCGTTTGCAGCTGATTCAAGTCCAGAGTTGGCTAGTGAGGCGGTGAATGTTTGTGCCGGGTTCATCGCAACTGGGATTGTGAAGGACGTTGATAGGATGGGGAGAATATTAAGGCTTCTCACTTCAGCTTTGGAGAACTTCTCAAGTAAGTAACCTTAGTGAATTTTGGTGAGTATTGGGACTTAAACTGACACTCAAAGGTGATTCTGAGGTCCCCTCTATCGGTGACTTGAAAGGGCTCAGCTCGAATGCCCAGGTTATGGTGAAAATGGCGGTTCTTAGAGGTTGGGCTGAGTTGCAGGTTGCCAGCAAAGAGCAAAGTTATCTTGTTGATGTCGTGAAACCGCATATTGCTACCCTAGCACCCCTGTGGCTGTCTTCGTTGAGGGAGTTTGCGAGGTTGCGGTTCGAACCTGATATCTCGACCAATTCGACAGGCCCAGCGTCCTTAGGAGGGTCAATCGATACAATATACTCAGCGCTGAACCGAGAGACTCTGTTGAAGGTAGGTTTGAAACTTCATCGTTAATTGACGGAAGTACAAATCCTAATATCACTCTTTAGTTCTACCAAGAGTCTTGGTTGAAACTGGTTGATGCAATTGCCAGCTTAATTGAGCAAGATAGTCAGTTTGTTTTCGATGCTCTGGATGGCAAGGCCTCATCCGCTGGCGAAGCCAATGGGAACGGCGTTGCCCATGATATCAACTACCGCGACGAACCTGTAGCATTCTTCTTTGTTTTATTCGGAATTGCTTTTGAGGCACTTGTCGGGCGACCTGGAGGACCTGATAGCCTGGCAACCAAAGAGCAGACACTTGAGATTTTGCTGGCTTTGAAAAAGATCTTACACCCATCCGTTTGTGGTCATGCAATTTATCAGGGTGTTATTTTCTCCGAGGCGATGGATCTTCTTGACCGATTGGTTCTTACTGAAGGGTTGGCCGTGCAGTCCGCAATTGTGGATATTGCGAGGAGCTTGTGTGTAGCACATCCAACTGCCAGATCTAACTCTGGATCAGGATCTCAAGGAGAGAAACTAACAGAAGATATTGATCAACTATTTGAATTGACAAGACTCATAGTATTAGTTTTGGCTGGGTTGTTACCCAATCTGGTAGACTCAAAGACTACAGTTCGGCACCAACTTTCGGAAGAAGCAGTAAATGTTGTTACAGTCTCCCTTGACGCCTTAGTCGATGCAGCGGAGGTCTTCCCCGCTGTGATTAGGATGGACCTTTATGCCTCTATTCTTCACATCTTCACCAGTATGGACCTTTCTTCTTTTATTTGAGGCGAGCATCGACTGATTGTTTCCTAAGCTATCTTCGGCACTGGCGTTTGTCAGTCAGAGGTTGTGCCTCGCTCGTTGCCTATATTCAAACGATTTATCCACATTATCACCAAATCTGGGGGCGGTAATGACGGTGAGCTAGTCATCATGCAGGTTCGGAGCTGCTTAAGCACCATCTTGAGGGTTTTAGATAATGCAAAGTACGCACACTCTCATCCGAACTAAGCTTTATCCAGGCTAATTTATTGGATAGGCTAAGGGGCGAGGCTGCATTGTCTTGCATTAAAAACTGTTTAATGGCATCAACAATAATAATCACCGCCGGAGTAAACGTACTTGCTCCGAACGACGAGCTCGTGCCAAGGCTTTGTGATAATATCCTAGAGGCCTTTTCAGATTCTTCGGTATTCCAAGACCTTTTAGGTACATATAAAGTGTAATATAGCTAACTTTACCTAGACTACGAAAGTGGCTATCCAGTGCTGCCGCTCCATCTTGATGGTGACTCCTAAGAGCGCATGTGACCAGGAGATTGTCCGTTACATGATACCCCGCATGATAACCTTTGCAACCTCGACCAACGAAGATCCAGATAACGTGAAAGGGCTCGTTTGCCATATTCTGATATCCTTCGTGTCCACTCTCTTTGGCGACCAGGTTCAGGTCGCCATGGCGGTTTTCATACCAACTCTTCTCTCTCGAGCAGCTTCCAACCCACAGACATACCAAGAAACTGCGGCTAGACTTCTGGAACTTGTCGCAGTGAACCAGCTCGCATTCAAGAATGTTGTGGCGAACCTAAACCCCTCACAACGTACATTTATGGAGGAGATTTTACGATCAAACGCAAGGATGTCGGAGGGAACGACAAGGCATGAGTCGAATGCCCCAGCTATCGCATTGAAGATGAATTTTGGGGCGTAAAATGGATATTTTTACCTGAGCTGTACATAATATATATTTAGACAAGAGAACGGAATAGTTTTGGGGCTGCTTTAATTTTGCTGGTGGAAGAGTTGACTAGTAAGAGTGGTAACTATAGCGCAGGACAGGTTGATATGGTGCTTGATACTCAGGCTCATAGTTCACCAGAGTAGATATGAACAGATCAAAGCTTAAGATGTTATGTAAATACTCCAAGTTTGAACTTTATTCTTATGATGTGCTACCCGGAGCTGTTGTACCGTATATAAGGAAGCTGAAGATCAAGTATTTGACGTCGAGTGATATATCATGAAGCCCTAACCCACTCTGCCCCACAACCCCGCCAAATCGCTTGGCATAAAAATATTGAGCACAACAGACACCGATCCCCACCAACCCTTACTGAGTATAATATGTGTCTAGTGCCGGGAATCAAGGCCGTCATAAAGTAGAAGGCCTGTTGCTTTCTAGTGAGTATAAGTTCTCCCAATTGTTCTAAAGTACAGCAGCACGGTACGTACTATCTCTTCGTCTGGTGGGTGGTTTAATTTTCACGCCCTACCGGACTCTTTGCTAAAGGGCGATCAACGGCGCCCTAGCTTTCGTAGGCTTAAGGTTGTTCCTAAATGGATAGCGGACATACGAAAATATTCAGTGTGTTAACTGCGCGTGCAGATTACTTCCCCAATAGATATTCTGCCATACAAAACCACGGGTGCTGAAAACAGACGAAGGGATGGTTTTTCATGAAGATAAACTTTGACCCCTAGGCCTCAAAATCTGTCGAAAGTGCCTTTTCACTACACTCTATCGGAAATCTATGTCTAGACTACCTTAAAGGTTCAATATAGAGTCAGTCACATCCAAGTTCACTCTTGTGAATGATGATGCCCCGCAAGAATTCCATAGATCGAACTCCGCTAAACGTGACCATGGTACAGTTGAACTTCATAGTTACATATTTGTTTAAGTTATGATAGCGGTCTCAGAATTAGCATGGAAGGATGACCGAGTGGTTAAGGTGTGTGACTCAAGATAATTATCTTTCTTGCTTAATAAGCGAGGTTTCTCATGGGCCTAGCCCGCGGGGGTTCGAATCCCCCTCCTTTCAATTTATTTTTTTTGATCTTGATACAACAGTATCCATATTCACACCTTGTTCATATTCTACACGCTCCACCTCTTACCCAAGGTTCCTCTTGCGGCATCAACCACACTAAACATCACGCTAATACTTTAATTTACGCTAGTTAGTGGCGGAACTTTTTGAGACTGGAAAACTCTTCACGCATCGTTGGTGCAGGGGTAGCATAGTTGCCTTCCAAGCAACTGGGAGGGGTTCGAGTTCCCTACGATGCAATTCGTTTTTTTTTTTTTTCCCCCAATCCCTCAATTTCTTCAAGTAGGTGTACCGTGCTCCTTCTCATATGTAGGCTAATGTAGCTTCCCAGAGTTATTTAGGGTCCAAGCTTTGTCAGATTATTCCAAGACTTGTTTGTACTCCGAAGTATCTTTGAACAAACTATACGAGTGATATCTCATGATTGCAATTGAAACCCTATCAGTGCATATAATTAAACTTCATAATCGTTATTTTTGTTCTTATCAATACGACCTTGCTAATCACAAATAGCATATGCTATTCATGCCAGATAATATAATAAGATTACACAGATCAATCACACCCAACCTTCAGCGATTCAACTAAATAACCAAATTGCAAATACACATTTAACCAAACCAAACTAGCCCCCCGCCGCCGCTGGTGGTGCTGCGTCTGCTGCTTGTGGGGCTGGTGGGACTGGTGGGACTGGCGGCGCCCCCGGAAGAGGCGGGACCTCTACCCCCTGCTCTATCAATGCCGCCCTCAAGCCAATCTCTTCCCATCGGTCCGGTTGACGATACCTATACCTGACATGTGCCATATCCAAGTGATTCACCGCCTCCATCATGCGCCTGATCCCATGGGACACAAGCGCCATAACTACACCCACCAGTCAGCCACCCATCGACCCCACTTCCACTGAAGGATAACATACTTAGCGGGAACAACCCAAAAATGTACCCATCATTCGTCCAGTACTTCACTTCGGCCTTGCCCCCCGCTAGATTGCCGCCGGCCGGGAAAATAACCGCCATAAACGCAATGAAACCCGCGAGGTACATGTTTGCTCTAATGATCCTGTACTTCCAGCGGGTGGGCATGTCGAGCGCGAGGCGGTCGGTGTAGACGGCGGGGACGCATGACGCGGAGATGATGAGGGAGATGAGGGAGAGGATCTCGGGGGTGTTTGGCCAGTTTACCCACACGCGCGCCGCTATGAAGGGGATGGGGTTGGTGACGAGAATACCGAAGGCTTTGGCATATTGCTCGTTCTTCTGGATATCTTGCCGTTGATAGTGGCGGGTTAGTTGGTCGAGTTCTGGGTGGGGGCGTTTGTGTTAGTATTCTGTGGGTACTTGGGAGGGAGATTTGGAGAGTGGAACCTTCTTCATCCATGTATAAGATGTCGCTCGAGTAGTCCTCTCTCTCGACGTTTCTGAGTACCCCCAACCTGGCTTTGATAGATGCCTCGTCCCAGGTTAAGTACCTGTCTTTTATGTCCAGCGCCTTGAGATGGCATATATCCACCATGGGTGCTAAAAAGCCAAATCCATAAGGTAGATTGAATGCGAGCATATCATCTTCGGGGTCCCATAGCCTCTGTGGTTCCTCTTGATCGATATATAGAGCCTCCGTAGCCTTTCCGGGAATGTAGTGCGCCGTCATTTTTACGGTTAGGAAGGTGTAGAATGTTGAACATCTTGACTACTAGCTTCGGGTTTTGATGCATCTCCAGAAACAAAGAGACAAGGAAATAAAAATACAAAGACCCCACGAACAAAGAAGTTGTCGTTGCATCACAGGATCTGACTCGATGGCCATCCATGCACATGCCAAGCCTTTCTTCCTGCACAACGGTTGCGGCTCAACACCAAAAAAAAGTTCCCTATCCTCAAACACAACCCCAGGACAATTCCCCCCACATTCGCAATGAACTCACTCCTCCACACCCGCCAATTACTCCGCCGCTCTAGTCCAAAGTTCCTCAAACCTCGGGGCTACCGAATTCGAGGATTGGCTTCCGTTTCGGCAGATCTAAGGTACATGGGGTCTCCCCCGCCACAACTCCCCCCTTCCCCCCCCTTCTTCCCCGGAGACACCGGACTTATAGGGTACAGTGCAGCCAGAGAATATGATGTCGTTGTTATCGGCGGAGGCCATGCTGGATCTGAGGCCTGCGCTGCTGCTGCGCGAGGTAAGAATTGCACTCTCCTCACCGCACGAGCATTTCGCTTAGTATGCAGCCGGCGCACGAACCGCGCTCGTGACCCAGAAAATCGATACGATCGGTACATGCTCCTGCAACCCTTCTTTCGGCGGCATTGGAAAAGGTATCATGATCAGGGAGGTCGATGCTCTTGACGGTGTCTGTGGGCGCATCACGGACAAAGCTGGTATCCAGTTCCGGGTGCTTAACAGAAGTAAAGGACCTGCTGTTTGGGGCCCTAGAGCTCAGATAGACAGGATATTGTACAAGAAGTACATGCAGGAGGAGCTTAAATCTTATCCTAACCTAGAGATTGTTCAAGGGAGCGTTGCAGACATTGTGGTGGACCAGGCGCCGAATTGGCTACACCTGGATGAAGAAGGCCACTACGGGAAGATCCAGGGAATTAAGCTTGAGTCTGGAGAAATTATAAAGACGAAAAATGTAGTAATCACCACGGGTACCTTTCTCGGCGGGGAGATCCATATCGGTATGGATGTATTCCCTTCGGGGCGCATGGGGGAGGCCGCTACTTTCGGCCTATCAGCATCCCTTAAGGCTGCCGGTTTCAAGATGGGACGTTTAAAGACTGGAACGCCGCCCCGTCTTGACGGACGCACTATCGACTACAAGAATCTTCTCCCGCAGTATGGCGATGAACCGCCAATGCCGTTCAGTTATCTCAACGAGCGTGTGCAGATTGAGGAGCAGAACCTCTGCCACTCAACCAACACCGTACCGGCCACTCACGATATCCTTCGTCAGCACCTTCATGAGTCCATCCACATTCGTGAGACAATTAAGGGACCGCGATATTGCCCTTCTCTTGAGTCCAAGATCATCCGTTTCTCCCACAAGGAAAACCACATAATCTGGCTCGAACCAGAAGGTGTAACAGACCACGTAGTATATCCTAACGGGATCTCCATGACCGTTCCTGCCGCAGTTCAAGAGCGCCTCCTTAAGACCATCCCAGGACTCGAATCGGTAAACATGCTACAGCCCGGGTATGGCGTTGAATACGACTACGTCGACCCACGGCACCTCCGTGCAACCCTGGAGACAAAGCCCATCAAAGGCTTGTTCCTCGCTGGGCAAATCAACGGAACAACCGGTTATGAGGAAGCAGCTGCACAAGGTGTCGTTGCAGGAATCAACGCGGGCTTGTCCGCGTTAGGGAAGCCACAGATGATCATAAGTAGAAGTGACGCCTACATCGGCGTCATGATCGACGATCTCATCACGAAGGGCGTCAGTGAGCCATATAGGATGTTCACCTCGCGCAGCGAGTTCAGGATGTCTGCACGGGCCGATAATGCAGATGTACGGCTGACGCCCATGGGCCGTGCGCATGGCGTTGTGGGGGATAAAAGATGGGCCCATTACGAGGGTGAGACATCGCAGATGGTGGATCTGCGGACAAAGCTTGAGACTACCGTTTTCGGTTCCTACGAGTGGGCGCGGCGCGGTCTCGGCGTGAACAAGGACAGCGAGAAGCGAAGCGCGTTCCAACTGCTCAGACTAGCAGGCGTAGATATGGCGAAACTTGTCGAGGTCGGTGTATTGGAGAAGGACCAGTGGTCAGAAAACATTATGCGAAGAGTTGAAATCGAAGGTGTTTATGAGCCGTATGTAGTACGGCAGGCCAGTGCTGTTAAGATGTTTATGAGAGATGAGGCTTTGCGTCTACCACCGGATTTGGATTATTCCCAGTGAGAGCCCTCTCTTTTTCTATCTCCGTCTGTTCCTCCTTGCTGACAACTGCACGTAACAGGGTTGTCGGATTATCAACAGAAGAAAGGATTCTCCTCAACGAGGTCCGACCAGAAAGCATTGGCCAAGCCAGACGTATTGAAGGGGTATATCTCCGCCTCCCCCCACTTTTCTTCCACACTATCCCCATCTAATGACAATCCAGATAACCCCCACCGGTTGCATCCGCCTCCTCCAGTACGTCGAGAAAAAGAAACGCCTAGAGGCCAAAGCTCTAGTAACCGAGAGCGAGAGAGCGAGAAGGAGCGCACTAGGTGTTGAAAAGCTGGAGAGGTCGCCAGATGACCTATTTGTGTAAAAGAAAAGAAAAAAAACCCAAGGCAATACTTGTACATTTACCACCGAGTTATATTTCTTTTCCCTCATGTATTTTGGTAGATGGTTTGGTGTTTTGTATAATTATTCCCGTTTCTGTTTTTATTAGGGCATTCGTTTAGTTAGATTGGGTGTTTTGTACGGATTGTGTTTTTGAAGTCCCACGGAAACAAAGTTTCAGTTGTTTTTCGGTATCCAATGATCGTTCCATCATCGTGATACACAGATGGATTGATTGGTTGTCCGGAGCACCTCAGGCTGAACGCAAGATTAATGGATGTCTCCGCAGAGTGAGCAGGAGGAGTAGAAGGTTGAGGCCAATAACCTTACAGCTGTAGTCTGAAATCCGTACTCACCTCAGTCTAACCGCTCTCGTTATTGCTAGCGCCTTTCCACATATGGCCACCTTAATATTTCGGATGACGGGGAACGCCGAGTGATATCTCATGCAACCCAACCCACCACGCAACATCGATCGAGTGATACTCCATGACCGTTGCAACCTCATCCCGAAACCACGCCAACCACGTAGGACACATTCCGGGATTAAAACAGCTCCCATCAGTCGAGCAAACACACAAACCCACGCGGCTGGGGGGAAGGGGCGCTTGACGAACCACCTGGCGCACCACTCACACACAATACAACACAACATCGAGAGTGGGGGGCGGGAGGGAGGCCAGGGCCACGAAGCATTCCCGGTGGTTCTGTCCTTGGCAAAAAAGCCACCTCAAGCCACCACATAGGTACTTCACCCCGACGCATGTCCTCAACCGCCCGCACAAAGTAACCCTTCTGACCCTCTCTCTCCTCTCTCCCTCTCTCATTCTCGCGCGCACCCTATCAGCGGGCCGCGCCATCAATTAACCGGGTCCTATGTAACTACATGTAATATTGAGGAGACAAAAGACCCCCCTCCCCTGTTCCATCACCGGCAGGGAAGGAGAAAGAAGAAAGAAGAAAAAAACAATGGGCTCTTTCCAGCGGTGACTCCTCGGGAGATTTCGACCGTCAGGTGATGGATCGATGGGTGGTTGTTGGATTCCACTATCTTGTGTGCAAGGGGGGGGAGGACAAAAATTAAAAGCCCTCCGCGGAAGGAAGGGAAGGGAATCTTTGTGTTGTTATCCCACCCCCCCCCCCCCCCTTTTCCTTAATAGTGGTGAGTTTGAATGTGAGATCAAATATATAAGCAGATCTCTTAGCATAGGCCACACTCTTGGCACTAACATTAAGGTGCAGACGAAGGACAATAATAGTGGGTTAGGGTTACTACAAGTGTTCTAATCAATGAACCTCAATCCGGTAGGGTGAGACCCGTTATTGTTGAGGCCTTTAACCTCACTCAATCTATTTCACTCGGGTTACCTCGTAAAAAGACTTCAGGACCCATGGAGATAATTGCATCTACTCGTCATTGCTTCCCAGTCTAGTGCAAATGAGCAGTAAGAATGTGGAAACCTCAGAATTACATTGACACCAACAAGAACACATACATACAAATCGGGTTGAAATAATTTCTTTTCCCTCATTCCCGGTTTTGGCCAACACATAACAAAAATAATGATAAATAAATCGCCCAAAATAACTACGAGGGAAAACCATGAAAAATAAACAATGCTCAAACAAACTACAGAGAGAAAATTTGACAAATTGAAATCATATACAGTGGGTAAGAGCGATAGAAAAAATAAATAAAACACAAGAAATAAAGGAATAATAATAATAATAATATCGTTACGTGAAAATGAAATACGAGGGGTTTTGAACACGATGGTGGGTATTCGGATGAAACCTCAACAAAAGACAAAAAATCGTCTCTTGTGGATACAACACGACGAAAACGAATACATCCAAGGCATCCTAACCTTCTCCAAGAAAATTCACAAAGCATAAACATAAAATAATGAAAGATGCCGATATAAAGAATCAACAAAACCACAACCCCTTGTGACAAGTTCTCATGCCAAACCCAAGCCGATAGCCGTAAAAAAAAAAATAAACCCCAATTTGAAAACATCCGTAAAGCTATTTTTCCCCGCGCCCCGCGTGAATGCCGCTACATTTTTAATGGTGTTTGAAAGTACAAGAAGCGAAAAGGGGGATCTGGATAGAAGAAATGGGGAAGGGGTATTTTAAACACATGATTATAAATGCTTCATTTCGCATCCCAAAAGAAATATAAAAAATATACTGAAGAAGACTGGCCTCCAAAATATTCAGCCAAAAATAAGATTGAAACACTTCCATGAAACAATTCCTGACGCCAATTTGTTTCCCAGTTCAGACCACAATGATGCTGATATGATCTAGCTAAACTTACTCGGTAGTCTTTTCGACCACGGGAACTTCGCCAGCATTGCTTGTTGTAGATGACACCTCAGTCGATTCCGGGGTGTGGTCCGGCGGGGTAGCAGCGGATGAACCAGGCGGTGGAGAAGCTGTCTGCGATGGCGTGGAAGAGTTGTAAATCAGCTTTTCGATCTGTGAATTTGTCAGCTACGGCGTTGTATAATCTGACTGAGGGTAGGAACTAACACATACCGCATTGATTTGCTTCCCATATGTGAATTTCTTCAGCGCCTGAAGTTGAGGTTTGATTTGCTCAACCAAAGTTTCACGGTCTTGGCCCGAAAGCAAGGTCAAAAGTTTCTCTTAACTAAATGTTAGCATTTATACTCAACTGAAGTACCAGATCCCACGTACGAATCACATAATTGCCGTATTGATCCCTCATCAAGATCTGCAGGGGAGAAGTGCCATCAGGTCGAGTTGCGCAAACGACCTTCACAATCTCACGCTTCTGGTCTGGTGACCCGAAAGCTATGCTCTTCTCGACGACATTTGAAGCAAATTTGTGTCTAATCGAGTTTGGTTAGCTCCTTGAGAGCAGAAAGGTGTTTGAATTTAGGTGAACATACTTTGAAAAGTGTAGTAATTGAGAGGTAACCAGATTGACGATCTTGGCCCGATCCTCGGCCTTCCCGTGCTCAATCACATGTTGCGTCACGTAATTGCCGTACTGATCCTGAACTAGAGCCTGGGTACAGAAATGAAGCTCCTGCAAAAGAGATGCCTGCGCAGTCTCATCGCAATGCTCAAGCATTCTCTGGATTACACGACAGCCGTAAGGATGCGTTGCAAGAGTCTGGACTTGGCCGTGGAAAGCCTTGATGATGAATTGGATATGCTCCGCAGGAACCCTCTCAATAGCCTTTTGGACTACGTGGTTTCCATTCTGATCCTTGACACACTTCAGAACATGTCCATCTAGCTCCTTGACGAGGGTTGCTTGTTGTTCGGTCAAGATGTGCTCAAGAGCCTGTGATTTGTGTTAGCTCATATACCATGCAAATATATTTTCCTTCCTTACCTTTTGAACAACACGACAACCATACATCTGCAAAGATAGCGTCAAAACGTGGTTTTCCATTTGCTTTGCCAGAACACTCTTTTGCAGCTGATTTCCATGTTCGAAAAACTTCTGAATAACATAGTTCCCAAAAACGTCTGTCATTAACTGCAAAGAGTTCGGTTTAATCTCTGCAAAGACAATATCCTTTTCGTCGCTGTTTGCCGTTTCAAGCTTTTGCTGGATAAATCTAGATCCATGTTGATCACCACTAAACTCAACAACGTGGCCATAGATGTCCTATCCGTGTTAGTAAGAGGCTTGGAATAACATAGAGGCTTAGTTTTACCTTGAGCTCATAACGTTTGTTGGATTTAGAGTTTGAACGGAATTCTTCCAATAATGCGCTTCTAAGGCTTCCGATATCATCATGCCTCCGAGCAGCTGGATGAGTAGGTGCAGCCAAAGGACTGATTGGTGAACCGCCGGGATAAGCGGGCATTTGCATTCGCAAATTGCTATATGTGTAATCATATGGCCCAGACATAGGGAACTGCTGTTGCTGTTGCTGCTGTTGCTGAGTACGATAGAGCTGATCGCGCATGATAGTCTGGCTTTGACTTAAATGGGGGCTCTGCTGCTGTTGTTGGGTGACTAACAGCCGTTGCCTTAATTTCTCATGGTTCAATCCCAGCTGTACCGAAGGTGGCGTGCGCGCAGTAGCACCACGAGAAGCAGAGCGAAAGTCCCCCTGTTGCGGAGGAGTGGTCCCGTTTGGATAGTACGGGCTGGCCAAACTTCTTCTCTGGAAATCGACGTTTTGGTCGCCTGGAGACATTGCACCAACTCTCTCATAAGGCCTAGTCCGAAACTCGTTGTAGCCCTCAACGTACCCATCCCCATTATATTGGTCGTTGCTAAACCCTTCCTGTCCACGGGTGTAGGTTCCCTCTTCTGTAGCCCATGGAGACGAGCTTTGAGGTACGGCCTGGGCATTCTGACGTTGTTGTTGTTGGTACTGATAGTCGGCGAACGAAGGCTGTGAAGGGTAGTTCAAGTTCCCTGGATTGTTTTGGGGTTGGTTAAATGATCCTGTGAACGGTAGACGACGCCTATCTGGAAATTGATCGTTCTCATCTTCGACTGAAACCTGACGAAACTGTGCAAGCATCTCTGCTTGGCGAGTATCTCGAGTCAAGTCAGTATATCTACCCTGCGCACCAACTGGATAATTGCCAACATTAGGATGATTAGGGCCATGCGAAGCTGGATGAGAAGTTGGGACATGAGTGTAAGCTCCGTACCCAGCAGCCTCTTGCGGTGTCTGGTTGGGATTATATGTGGGTGGTGTTGAATTTGCCCGTTGCTGAGGTGGAAGGCTCTCACTACGACTAGCGGATGATACACTAGTGCCCAGAATCTCGGCACCGGTATTAACACCACGTGGATTGGATACTACACGCCCTCGATTTGTGTGGTTAGGATCCTCATCCTCGATAGCACCAAGAACAGAGCCAAGATGTCTCCTGTCACCAAAACCTTGTCCCATTTCAAGGCCACGCCCTCGACCCCCATTTTGAAAATCAAGAGTCTCACCAAAGCTGACCGCCGAAGCAGGGTCCAAATAAGATTTACTACTTGGAGATTGACTCATAGATGGCCCCTGTCCAACAGCTGCTTGACGGGGGATAGAAGAATAGTACGGCGATGAGGTACGTGGGACTTCTGAGCTAGTCTGAGGTGAATCGTATTGTTGACTGCGAAGTCGAGCTGGCGAACGAGAATGATCTTGGCTTATGGCCACATTTGAAAGAGCTGGTGATGTGGATTCGCCGGTCCATCCTACTGCAGTGGGTTTGGTATTGCTCCACGGCTCATGCTCGCCAGATCCTGCCAAAAGTGAGGAAGAACCTTGTTTACCCTCCAAAGACCCTATTTATAGAAAATGATATCAATAACGAAAGCTCTCAATTCTACCGGATAAATTCTTTAGAGTCCAAACCAGATGGGGCAGAAAGCTCACCTCTCCTTTCGTTGTTGCTACTGGTTGTGGCTCCAAAACCACTACCGATAGTCGTGCTACCGATAGCGGAGGTACCCCAGATACCCCATGCTGCACCACCTGCTCCAAGGCTCTGGCCTGAATTCTGTGATGAGTTCTCGTCAAGAGTCCCGGGCGACCTTCCAAAATCCCCAAATCGAGTGTTTCGAACCTGCAACACCACAAATCATCAGTTCTATAGCTTACACAACTGCAGTCGGTATCATTAAATTACAAGAACACGTACACTATTTGATGGTACTGCTCGAGCAGTAGCTGCAGCTTGGTGGTCCGTCATATTTGCTACCGGAGGTTGTGTGTGTATGTACGGAATTGACTATGTAAATGTTGAGTGACGGATTCGCAAAAGTAGCGACGGACAACAAATATATATCCAGGAGACGCAAGAAAGAAATATGACTTTCGATTTCTGTACAGGAGGGGTTTTTTATTTTAAATTTACAGATCGTAGAACGTTATGTTGGATGTTACAACAGCTGTTGAATTGACGCGGGGAGCTAGAAAGTCAGCCCTACGAAGCTTTCCGAAAAGAGCAGGTTCGATGGAACGATTGAGAGATATTGCTTGAGCTTGTTGGTTCTACGCACTTATCTTGCAAAGGTTCGGCCGGTAACGGTAACGGGAGAAAGACCTGGAGCTGTAGTCGTTTGCTAACGGGCAATCGGGAAAAAGGAAAGAAATTAATCAAAAAGATGTACAATCGAATGTAGAAGGGTGCCGGGGCGGAGAAGGAAGGAAGGGAGGGAGGTAGGCGGGCGGCGGAAAGGTTGTGAACGTCAGTCAAGTTTTGGGAGACGTTGCAGGAGGTATTGGCAGATTTATTATCTTCAAAGATGGAAGAGAGAGGGAAGGAAAGGAGCGAGCGCAAGCCAGGCCTTAGAAAGCGTGGTATCCTGCCCTCCGCTTGGATTGATTAGCAACAGCAAGTTGTAGTCATGCGGCGGCGGAGGGGCTGATGCAAGGGGATGACGATGGCCGCCGGGAGCAGAGCGAGAAGGTTTGAAGGTTTGATTGACTCTGTAGGGATGTGGGATGACGAGGATGGGGGAGGAGGGGAAGAAGGTGGATGAAGATGGAGATGAGAAGCAGCGAGGGATTGTGCCGGATTGAGAGCTGTGGACGAGGGTAAGAGGAACAGGATAGAACGAGAGAGAAGAAAGAGAAAGAGAGAGAGAGCAGTGGACGATGTTATCCGGAATAGAAATGTCGCGAGCAATAGTTTTTCTCTCTTTATTTTATTACTGTGTTTTTTTTTTACGTCCCTTGAACGAAAACCCTTGAAGCCCCTCTGTGTGGGTTGCACTCGGTGTTGGTTTCAGAGTCAAGTATGTAAGGCTGCTCGCTGCTGCTGCTGCTGCCGTCGGTGGTGGTGGTGGCCTGCCTGGACCTTGCACTCTATCATACTCTCACGTCTTCTCTTATTCCTCTAGGTACTTGTTTTCTTATAGGCACAATCTCTAACTGTCATTCCTGGGCTTATGCCTGTAGTTCTTGATCCTTGAGATATCTTCTGTTTGATGTTGCTCCGTCCGCTTGCTCTCTCGCCGTTACATACAATGTCTCTTGTTTCTTGGTTGTCTCGCACACTTACTTAAGGCGGTCGCGTCCCGTCCGTGCTGCTGCTGCTGCTGCTGCTGCCACTACGTTCTGACCCCCGACTTGACACCAAGAGAGCGACCGACGGGAAGGAAAGTTTGCGGGACTTTTTTGTAAAGCGGAAGGGCCCACGCACGAAAAGAGGGAGAGGGCGGTGGGAAAAAGGAAAGGTAGATCTATTAGTCTTCCAATTGCTGGGCGCTACTCGTCGTGAGTAAGAGTGCGGGGGGGAATAGTGGGTGTGGTACCAGGTAGGTAAGGTAAGGTAGCTGAGCACTGGGCACAGCTACGATGTATGTGTATGTACGGTTGTGCTAGGCGGTGCTGGGATGCTGATGAGATGGGGATGGATGGGGCGAAGCGAGAGTCTGGTCTGGGCTGGCTTGCTTGATGTCTGTGGTGAGTAAAGTGAAAAGACAGATAACCTCCAATTGATTGATTATTGACTCGAAGAATCTGGTTTTTTTTGCACAATCGTGACCTGTTTGTGAGTGCTACCTATTACCACATGCACCCAAAGCAGATGTGCAGAGTATACTAGTGCGTATTAACTGCAATATCGATAACTTTTGCCCAGTAACCTCATAAGGCGGGAAGATGCACCCACTTTAATCTGATTGATATCGAGCATTTCAAAACAGCCGACAGCATAGAGCACCTAGATAGAGTAGGGTGCTCTAGTTCAATTTTATGTGTCTTAGTCTTGGACATAGCCGCCATAGGACTGACAGCATTCTCAACCACTATCAATGATCAACGATGAGAATACTTACCAAATATGTGGGCACATATGTATTTACACCAGTATTTAAGGCTGCTCTCCCTCCCCAAACATAAATTAGAGTAAAGTGCACTCAATTAATTGATCACCCTGCAGTCATTCGTCAACGACCTCCCATAAGCATACTCAATATATTAACCCTGATCGATAGTAGATCCCAACGAGTACATACATATATCCATACATACATACCCTCGTATCTTGTATCTTGTTTTGCCAGATACAAAACGAGGAACCTGAGAGGAGAGAAACTATGATTTATTATCGCAGGACTTAACGAACAGGCGGCTGATGGGAGGGTTATGCGCTGTGCCTTCGCTACGTGTCAAGTGGTGTGGAGGTATGACTCCCCGCCCCTCCAACACTACTCGGAGTCAATGAAGGCACCTTTCTTGAATCTCAATCAATTGCATGCTTCTGCCGTTGCATGACGCTTTCCCCTTCCCGTATCCCAATTTCAACCAAAACACAGCGAGGAAGAAACAAGTGGAGGCAGGAAACAAATGTTTACTTAGCACTCATGCCCTGTCGTTCCAGTCCATAAAGAGGAGCTGAAAGTGGTGGTGATAAACCTTACATGATGCCAGTATTGAGAAACCTGCTGTATGGAGACAAACCCTTGACGTCCTTCGATTTACTTTGGGGGGGGGGGGTTGTTGTTGTTTCTGCTGTCAATCAATTGTTTCATTTATCTACCATTCGTTTCATCCACTGGTACGTGCAGTGCGCGCAAGCTATGAGGACGAAGGAAGGGTAGACAGGCATGTAGAAGTACAGTACATGTATGTATCAATTCTAGAGGAGATCGGGGTGCGACGGTACGGCTGAAGATCTAGGGCTCCAAGAAACGATGTGGCCCCACCTTCCCGCTTCCTAAACCCCTAGAGGTCGAAAAAAAGCTGTCCGATTGAGCGGACGGTTCCGCAGTGGACGTCACACCAGCCGAGATAACCTTTTCGTTGGAGAGGTCTGTGCGCGGGAATAGTAACCGGCATAGACTTGTAAATGCTTTAGGCGCGAAACATCTCAGAGGAATTTCTACAGTGATAGTTAGTTACAAGAATATCATTTCCTGCCCTAGTGCGCTGAGTGCGTAGCACCTATAAATCCATACGAGAGGCCTCTAGAGATATACCATACAGACACAATGCACGATGCGGGATATCGAAAGTGAATTTAAAAGCAGAGCTGAGATACCTAACTAGCTTCGACAGCTCCATTGAATTCTGATTTGCCTAGGAACCCGAAGAAATGGGCACTGGGAAGAACTACCTCCGCATGTACTCTAGTAAGAACTAGCGGACGAACCAATTTTAGGGCTTGGCGTGCGAGCACTTAGCACGAGATTCTGTTATGCACAATTGTTTCTTTACTTGCCGATGTTGTACTGTAGGTACTTGTCGTCGTCGACAGGGAAACGGGAATAATAATATGCAATGATATGCCGTCCGTTTTAAACGCCACTGAGTCAGCTGTGATTCTGGGGTGTAACGGTAATTAAGATATGAGCGTGACCCGGTATTTTATGAGCCCTACGTATGTAAAGTACACATTCCTTATGCGCGCAGTAGTAGAGCCTCAAAACTGAGCCTGGAAATCAGATATGATCTTCACTTCCTAGCCCCATTTATGCAGGCAGCTGCCTATGATAATCCTATAGAAATATTTGGTGCATCATCAAATGTGCTTGGAAATTGGAGTAGTAGTACGATGTGTCTTCTTGTTAAAGAAGTCACGGTTGTCTAGATTGGGATACAAATGAGTGCCTTTGATTGAGATTTATGTACTGTAATGTACAGTAATAGATATATACATACCGTACTGTAGCACTCATGATTGAAAGATCCCAACCATATTAGGTAGCACCAAAATCTCAGCCAATTCTTCAAAATTAACTTTCTACCCAGAGGGTTGCCGACAACTATTGACTTCGTGATTCCAACAAGCAGATCAGATGTGTACTTGGTTCATCAATATTATGGCCATATATTCAACCCTGGGGATTTGTATGTAAACCCGCATCGATTTTCCTTGCATACGTAAAAGATGATCCTCGATCTTCCGCGCCTGCCTTTGGACTGCTCTAACCATGTTACTTTGTTTTAAAATTTCCTCCAGCCGTATTTTCTTAGAAAGAAAAACCATTGGCCGAGCGTGAGGTGGGGGTCATGGTGTGAGTGACAGGCTGTGAACGAAAAACAAAATGAAACAAACGATACCAATTTTGCTCATATTTATTGAAACCATCACGGCACTAACGAATGTAGCCATCCGAGCCTGTGTCCAAGACTCCCGTGTTGCCTTCCGTCAACTGATCAGCCCCTGACCTCAACCACACCTTTTATCTGACTTCGTATGGTTTATCCTTTGGAAGATCGGATTCACCCCAGCTTGATCTCTTACAGCCCAGTCATTTGATCCGCTTGTCTGATCCATGAGAGTTCATTATTCTCCTCATATCTCATTTTTACCATCGGGAGGTTGGTCTAGCTAGGCACAGGAACATTCAGCTCAAATGTATGTCCCCAGAATTGACTGCCGGCCGAGAGACTCAGAATGGGATTTTTTTTTTTAAAAAAAAAGTACCGTATGATACGATATCTTCTCGCTGAGTAGTTGCCCACGTGGCCTCGATCCTTTCCGTATCTCTGTGAGCGAATAGACTTCCTACCAGTGGTCAAATTTCTAATTCGCAGGATGACGAATGTGCGCGGGTTCGCGCATTGGAAGGGTGGTATAAGGTCAACTAATAAGACGGCCTTACAGTCCTTGCGGTAGCCCAAAAGGTGCAGAATTGCCATACCTAGGCCCGCCTGAGACACACAAGACAAGGCAAACAACCCCGCAGAAGAAGGAAGAGAAACAATTCGACCATCCCGCCTGTCCATTTATTCGGCCCG